ACTCTGCTATCAACCAGCTTTGTAACCTGGGGTTACTTCATTCACTGGCTCTTTGTTTCTTCATCTATAAAATGGGGAGGTTGAACAAGAGAATCTGGGAGGTTATTTGACAGTCTTTAACTATCCGATTCATTCTAGAGTCCCTCAGTGAGTTCATTGGAGAAAAATGATATTACTGTGTGAGAGATAAGTCTCTTTGCTCATCTAAACATGCGGAATTGCCATTCCTAATTAGAATATTTAGTTTAGGCCCTATTGGTTTCAATAAATATTTATAAGAGATAGATTCACAAGTGGTCTTTGTTATCAATGTCACCTTAATGTACAGTTTTCTAACACCACAGTCATTATAGAATGTACTAAAGAAGAATGTCCATACAAGAGCTGCTTTGATCAGAAACCAGCCACTACACCGCGTCACAACGAGGTGTTAGGCTGAGGAGAGACAAGGTTTTTCTCCGGGGCAGCTCTGCCAAGTCAAGCTTTCTCCCGTGCTTTCAGGGGAAGGGTTTGGAAGGCATCCTGCTGAGGTCTTCCCTTTGGGTGTCTACACAATGGCCTGCAGGTGCTAATCAACACACCTGCAAAGTCTTGTCAACAGCCCCCCCCCCCCAACAGCTTTTAATAATCTCCAGCTGAAAGGATTCTAGGTCCTGGGAGAATGCTGCCCCCTTAACATCTGGGAGGAATCTCAACTCTAACACCAGAGCCTAAAGGCTCGCCCTCAGGAAACTGTTGGGTACTAAATGTACATTCTTAGGAGGCTCTGGTCTTCTTTGCCAGAGTTTAATGTTGATTCCAAAAACTTCAGTGTTCAAAATCCAGGCTTAGTCTTTCGATTCTCTGTCTGCAGGTTGTCCAACCATGGTTCACAGTCATCCCAGGAAACTCAATGAAAAAACCAAAGACCTATTCAGGACATCAGCATGAAAGCCTTAAAAAAAAAGAAAAAAAGAGGTGCTCCTGAGATCACAGGGGAGAGAAAAAGAGAGAAAGGAAGGAAGAAAGGAGGGATGGAAGGAAGAAGAGAGGAAAAAAGGAAGAGAGAAAAAGAAAAAGAAAATGGAACCACGCAATTCATGGTTAGTGGGCAAGTGTAGGTAGACAATATTTACATCTTTTATTGGACTCAGAAGAAAGCTCCTTTAAACATTCTGTGTCATTCTGAGTTTGCCTGTGATTAGTGCCTACCGAGAAGTAGGTCAATGTGAGTGTGGGGGTGGGTAAGTCCCAGGGAAAGGTCAGCTCTGCTGATCTAACGTTGTTACCTGTGTAAGTTTCCCAGAGCTGAAGTAACAAAGCACCACAAACTGAGTGCCTTAAACAACAGAAATGTATCGTCTCACCATTCTGGCTAAAAATCTGAGATCAGGGTGCCGGCAGGGCTGGTTCATTCCAAAGGCTGTGATGGAGCATCCGCTTAATTCCTCTCTCCTAGCGTCCGGTGGTTTGCTAGCAATCTTTGGTGTTCCCTGGCTTTGTAGATGCATCACCCCAAGCTCCAACGTCATGTTCACACGGGGTGTGTGTGTGTGTGTGTATTTCAATGTCCAAATGTTCCCTTTTTATAAGAACACCAGTAATATTGGAATGGCACCCAATCTAATGTTCTAATTTTAACTTGATCTTCTCTGTAAAGACAATCTCCAAATAAGGTCATATTCTGAGATACCAAGGGTTAGAGCATTAACATATATATATATTTTAGGGGATACAATTTACGCCATAACATTACCTTTTCACACCATCCTGGGTAAAGTAGTACTCATGCTATCTGTCTCTGATCAATCTGAGATGCTATTGGGAAGGTGTTCTGTCTCCTTGAGGTTTAAGTTGGGCTGAACTAGTGAAACAGACTGTATTTTTCAAGGATGGATGCTAAAGCATCTCCTTTCCCAGTTCTTCTGCAGTGTGCCTCCACCACTCCATTAAGACATCGAATCTAATTCCTCCCCTCGTCGATCATGGCCGTTCTTAGTGACTCAGTGGGGAGCAGCAGAAGCAGTGTTCTGGAGCTTCTGAGGTCCGGTCCCATAAGAAGTCTCGCAGCTTCCACCTGGACCGCTTGGTAGCTTGGATTTCCTCTTCCTGTGAGGAAGTGCAGGGCTTCAGTGGGGCTGCCCTCATGTGAGGGAAACCAAAGCTCCTGAGGTGAGCTTCTGGTTGACCCAGTGGATGTCTGACTCAGCCAGCCCAGGGGACATCCCAAAGAGAGCCATGGAGCTGAGCCCCAGGCACACCCCAGAACCTCTGAGAGAGAAGGTTCAATTTTTGTTTCAAGCCATGACAAGTGGTTTGTTACATAGCAAGTGACAGTGACAGAACAGTCGGCCATGGTGCTTGAAGGGAGGGGGCAGCACTTCAATATCCCCTGCATTTTAAGACATATTAGGATGCAGTCATTTGCATTGAAAGAAACTTTCTAATTTTACCAAATGACTTCACTACCAGCTTTCAAAGCAAGCCTTCTTAGTTATGTATATACTAAATGAAAGCTAACTGTGGTAAAACTGCATGGGTCACTACATGGCAATATATATTTTGATGGAATTCATACTTTAATAGTTTATGTGAAATGTTACTGATTGTTTCTCATGAGTGATAGTAGAATTTTGAGCCAAACTCCCCGAGAGCCTTGGATTCAGGGTTGAAATCCAGTCCAGGAAGTGCCTCCACATTTCTTAAAATCACAAATGGAAAGAGTTTCTCTCTCTTTATATATATATGTGTGTGTGCGTATATATTATACGCACACACACATATATATATGTTTTTTAATTCTAGAATCTGGTTGATACAGAACTAATAGATTCAAGCACTTTAAAAAATACCAGTATTTAACTATTTTTAAAAAGGAAAGATAAATGAATTAAAATATGTGTGTGTGTATAGATATATATATATAGATATATAGATATATATAGTGTGTGTGTGTGTCCTCAAGAATTGAACAAGGAGAGAGAGAGAATAAAGGCAAAGCAGGGAGGAGACGGCTCTGGCGTGCAATACATTTGAGTTTTATCAAAGTTGAGACATTCGGGGTGGAGTTAAGCACTACATGACTGTGCAGTGCCATTTTGGTACACGTCCTAAGGAGGCAGAGATTCATGACACACGTTTACAGAGGAAATCCTCATACAGGATTTCTAAATTCCTGAGCTGTGTGGTGGGAGGAATTATTAGTTAATTTGTACTTTAGATATAGAACATTAATCTCAGTTTAACAGTAGGCTTAGTGAAATAATAATCTTTTTTTTCAATAAAGAGGGATCTAATTTATAATTTTCTTAGCAGGAGCATTAAAAAAGTGATATGCAATCATCAAATTTTGTGTCTGGAAGCGACTATTAGTATAATGTGGTCTATTTCCTGCATCAAGAGTTATTCAGTTGATTACAGTTTAGTCTCTTTGCCTGAAGGGTTATTAACAAAACTAATCACAGTATGTCTTCATAGTTCTGTGTAGAGGAGAGGGGAAAGAGGAGGGTGAAGGACAAGATATGCTTTATTTTCTTGTTTTATCAAAGCATAGACAGAGGGGCAGACAGAGGACAGTTTTCACAATTGTCAGCAATTTTCTAAAGGACAAAGCCCAGGACTAGAATATATTAATTTGAATCTAGCCTGTGAATGTACATGGCCCTAAAAGTAGGCCTGGGAATGCCAGATGATGGCTAAGAGTCTGCTCTAACTCAAGCCAGTTTTCTACTTCTCTCTTGAGCCAGGAACTTTGACTGATCAAGTGCCAGCCAATAAAAAATAAATGCACTCTTTCAGTCAATGTATTTTTGCTAAGTACAATTAACTAAGTGCAGGGCACTAGGCTATCCCTGAGCAGGCGATGGTGAGAAAAACACACACAGCCTCTGTTCTCCTGGAACTCGCAGTGTAGGATAAATTTCAAACAACCACAAAAGGAAATTGCAGAGCTGGAACTGTAATAAGTTCTTTGAAGAAGGATTTACATGTGTTTATGAAAATAAAAGGTTATTAAACACAGTTAAGGAGTTAAGGGGAAAATGTGTCTCTCTACAAAATGACAATGAGCCTCAGAAATAAGATGAAGAGGGGATAACTAGGTGAAGGTGGGAAAGGAAGAGTGTTTTAGAAGATCAGCATGTGCAAAGGCCCTGTGGAGTCAGAAACAGTGACATAGACAGTCTGAAGTCAGGCCCATGGAGCTGGAATTCATCCCTACCTTGAGTCCCGAATCTTGCCTTGTCTCCTATGTTCAGTCATCTGGGGCTTTTATTAGCAGGAAAGGTCTTGCTCCCAGTGGTCCTCAAACAGTCTGCTTCCAAGCTGGTAGGAGGGAGGAAAATGTGGCAAGAATGACTTTGGTCACTGTGTAAGAACTGCATTGGTCTGAGACAGCTGAGCAAAACCTCTCTTTAAAGGGACAGCAATGGCAGGTGAGCTCAGAAAGCCTGGATCACACCTGGAAATGGGGAAAATGGCAGAGGGTCAACAGGAACAGGGAGCAATGAAATCCTCAGATGATGGTTCCTTTTTCGTTGTTGTTGACTTTAGGGGCAATTAATCTTAATCCTCAGTTCATGCTTGGGCAAATGTTCTCTCTTGCTTTGATTGATATAGATATGTCTACATGGATTCAGTAATTTTTTTCATTTATTTTATTCTCCATTCCCTACTGGCCTCTTCTAAGGGACTTGGTATGGACTTGGACACATACCATGTAGCCATAGAGTTATTTTCTGTATATATGTATGTATATCTATATTTAAGATTTTTCATAAAAGTCATTACACTATAGATTTCATGTTGTTAATTTTTTACTAGCATTGTTTTTAAGACCTATTCATGTTGCCATGTATACCATGCACCACTTGTAACTGCTGCGTAGTGTTTCATGATGGGTATTTATCACATTTTGCTTATCCCTTCCTTGAGTGATAAGCTCTGTCTTACTTTGTTTGAGTTGCTATGATAAAAATGTCATAGGCCAGAAGGGTTAAACACAGGGCATTTATTTCTCATAGTTCTAGAGGCTGGAAAGTCCGAGATCCAGATGCCAGGAAATTATGTGTCCAGTATGGGCTGCCCAGGAGATGCTCATTGCTGGAGCAGGATGGAGAAGGTAAGGAAGGAAATCTGAGGATCTGCAGGAGATGCTGGCCAACAAGATGACCTAGCAGATTGGTGACAATGTGCATGAACTGCCATAGTGCCTGGTGCACAGCAGTGACTTTCCAAGTGTGAAAGATTGTGTTGGCTGTTTCCCTTCTGCCTTCCAAATCTCACATGAAATGTCCCCATGCCCTAGAGTAAGTCAGAGTTATTTAGAAAAGCGCATTCGTGGAAAAGTAATTCTAGCTTAAAGATGTCACAGTGCAAATCCACAGTGTACATCATTATATGTTGTGGACTTGTGTTAGCACCTTTTTTGTAGTAGAATTCTCAGGACTGAACTTCTCAGTCACAGAGTGAATGTGGACTCAGTTTGACTACACAGGACCACATTGCTCATCAGAAACCCTGTACCTGGCTGTGCTCCCAGCTGCAGGGGTGAGAGTTACCATCTCTTAGCATTAAACAACCTCTGTACTTTTGCTGATCTGAAATTTTTCTGATTACACAAGTGTTTTAACATCACTGCATATACTTGTTGGCCATTAGAATTTCACAGTTTTGGAATTGCCTGTTCATATCCTTTTCCCATTTTACTACTGAAATTTCTATCTTTTGCATATTGATTTTCAGAAGACTTTTTGTGTTCTAAGTAGCAATCGTATATTGCTTTCGGTGTTGAAAATAATTTTCCCTAATTGTCATTTTCTCAACTTTCCACATTATGAGTTCTGCTTTTAGGTCACTCATAATTCCTTTGACTACCCAAATCTATGAGTTAGTCTTCCTTTTGATACTATTAATTTGGAAGTTTTTCTGGAAAAATCCTAGAGAAAGAGTAAATGAAAATGAAAGAAGTATAGATAAAAAGAGGGAAAAATTAAATAACTTTGATTCCAATCCCAAACTCTTTTCTTTATAGATGATCATGTCATCTGTGATCTATTCACATCTGTCAGTCTCTATGACAACTGCTTTTCTTCCTTTACATTCTGTATGCCTTTTGTTTCCTTTTCATGCCTTGTTGCCTGTCCAGCACCTTCAAGATCATATTTAATTAAAGTGGTGTGACAGATAAACTTGTTTTACTCCTGATCATAGGGAGGAAGTATTCAGTCTTTCATTATTGAATGATTTTAGCCATAGGATTTCATGGATATCACACCGAGGAAGTGACCTTCTATTCCTAGTTTGAAAGTTGTTGTCATGAATAGATGCTGACATTTTCAAATGCTTTATTTGAATCTGTTGATAATCATGTTTTTCCTAATCTTTCAGTGTGGTCAGTCATAGTGATTAATTCTCAAATGTTGAACCAACCCTGCATTTCTGCTGGTCCTTTTTTCTTTAACATTTAATTTTATAGAGATCTCTTATTTTTAAAACCTCTAGTTGAGTTGTCTTTGTTGCTAAGCTGGATCATAGAACCTGTCAAGTATATAGCCTGAGTATTTTCTGGAGAGGTTTGCTTGTGTATGTGTATGTGTGTGTGTGTGTGTGCTCGGGTTAGGGAGATGAAGAGAAGAGGAAAAGAGGAAAAAGGGGATGGGAGTTTGGAGAGTGGAGAATGGAAAAGGGTTTACCAGTTGGTATTTGAGAACACTTGGTGACTCATAGTGTCTTTTTCTCACTTACGTCCTTCTGATGAGGTCCGGTAAGAAGCCTGGTTGGAAGTTGAAGTTTAAGGGTTGGCTTCTTGAGTGACCCTTGAAAGTTATAATTATGATTGCTATGATATGAAATAAATTCTTTGAATTTGTTAGCAAGAGGCATGCAAATTAAGATTTTGGGGGCATAAAAAAGACAAGTAAACTACATAAAACAAAAATGAATATAACTATATGAAAAATGCCTACCTCCATTACATGGTGGGGGATTATTAACTCAATTTTCCCACAAAATAACACAGAGTCAGCTAAAAACAAAGTGTATATACAGAGAGAGTACTGGAATAACATACATCTTTCTCTTGGAGATATATATATGTTAAGTCATGCATGTGTATTTACGTATATAGATGTATATGTTATATGAAAGGAGTCTCAGACATTAAAAAAATTATAATTCAATACATTCATAAGTAAACACAGAAAGATATCTCCCTGTTTCCCCCATTGCATCAACATCATTTGTCTATAAATTTAAACATATTAATAAGTTCATGAGTGAAGAGGAAATTAAAATAGAAATTATAAATTATTTAGAACTAAATGAAAACAAATGGATTTTCTAATATCCATGGGAATGATGCCAAAACAATTCTTAGGGGAAATTTTATACTCTGAAATGTATTTACAAAGGAAAAAGTAGTAAATGAACTAGACTTTTAACTTATAAAGTTAGACAAAAAACCAAACAAGCAAATAACAAAATAGCACAAACGCAGAGTGATTGAGAAGAAGGCAATATTAAAGAGCAGAAATTAAAGAAAAGAGTCAAAATAAAGTTAATAACCCAGAACCTAGATCTCAGCAAAGATTGTGGCAACTCTGATTAAAAAAAAAAGTCATAAACTACATAAAGAAGTAAATAATGTATATATATTATATATATAATTCTACATTCAAAAAAATAAAAAACTTTCAAAATACAAATCATTTTTGAGCATAGAAAGGATGGAAAATTACTTCATTATTTTAATGAGGCCAGTATGACCATAATCCAAAGCTAGGAAAAAAAGGAACGCAAAACTACAGATCAATGTCAGTACAGGTGTAAAAATCCTAAATGAGATTATTAGGAAAAGAAGAATCTAGTAGTGTTTTAATAGAATAACCTATGATCATATGAGGTTTATCTTAGGGATGCAAGAGTTGTTTGATATTGTGGTAAATTATACTTATAGTTAAAAAAATAACATTAAAGGCGAACCCCATACATTCATTCCATTGGATGTTACAAAAAGCTTCCATACATTACAATACTTATTCATGATAAAAATGTTATTTTATTTTGGAGTAAAAGACAATATTCTTAATCTAAAAAAAGGATGTCTACTAGAAACTTACAGCAAATATCATGTAACAGTGAACCATCAGAAGTCCAGTTAAAGCCCAGGAGGAAGTTGAAGGTGCCTGCTCTTACTAAGTAAGCGTGACAGTAAAGGGCCTAGACGCATGCTACAAGGTAATAACAATTCAATGAGATGTAAATACTTAAGAAAAAAGAACAAAATTCTTCTTTCATATTGTAGTGGATGCTGTCATGTGTCATCCGTATCTTCCTCTTTCATGACGGGAACACTCACTTTCCCAGTCTTATGACTGTTGATGAATGAAAGCTCATAGCTAGCTGAGTTCCCCCTCCTGGTGGTTGGCTCTTGGCTGAAGAGAGCTGCCTTACTCAAGGTCACACCCTTTTCCTGGGTGTGGCTCATATGAAGAGACTGGATAAGTGAGAATATAAAGGTCTGGTCCTATTGCTTCATCTCTGCAACAACTCGGAGCCATCCCAGCTCTGGTGCTCTCTGGGGGAAAACCCTGTGGTCTTTGTTGTGACAGCATCATAACTCAGTCCCTCCCTCTGCCCAGTCCTGCTACTTCCTCTCCTCCAACAGGGGTGAATCTAGAAGGATCTTCCTAATAAACTTTTTTCATAAAAATCTCCATCTCAGAGTCCACTTCCTAGGGAACTTGACCTGAAACCCATACTGAGAATGTCATGATCTAATACAATCTTTCCCAAATAATTATTAGAATGTATTAATAATTAATTGTTAAGCAAAATATTAAGATTAATAAAATGCTCTATCAAAATGACCAGTTGACCAATACAAGACCAATGTCCAAAACTCTGTAGCTTTCATCAGCAGAACACACAATTAGAAGATATGACTGATAAAAATGTCTTTCACAATAGTAGCAAAACTATAAAGCAGTTACAAAGAAAATTAATAATATGCTGTACACAAGAAAATAACAGAACTTTGTAACTGAACTAAACTTCAATTAAAAAAATAAAATTAGCAAAAAATAGAATCTTTTGATAAAATGATAAAAATGTTTACTGCAGGACATTGAACAAGACCTGGTTAAGTGGAGATAAATATTGTAGAAAGCCTCTGTTCTGCCATGATTGGGACTGATAACTGGTCAACTGGTAAGAAAAAGTTTCTTAAGGCATGGACTAATTAAAGAAAAAGATAAATGTAAGTCTAAATATTTTATTGCAACTTTTAACATGTAACACATGTATTCACAAATATTTTTCTATAGAGCTGATCTGTCTTATTTTTGAGCAAAATCATTGATTGGAGTTCCTCTTTGACTTTTTTGCGTAAATGATATCCATACAGGCAGCATCTCAGTGTTCAGTTTCATTTTCTTTGAAGTGAGACTACTAGTTGAAAGTATTGATGAAACAATCTGAGAGCAGAATCCTTCCAGAATTTCGCAATTTGCTTGTCCTAATATTTGACTAATTTCTCACTTCCATCTAATTTTAGAAATGTCCCTTCCTTGAGTCTTTTCAAAGCATTCAATTTAGCTTTGGTAGAAACAATAATTCTCTCTTTTTGAATGCCGTGGGCTTGTGTAATATTTAATTAAACTGCATAATAATATTAACTAGAGCAGATGTCACGAAAGGGTGTGTAGCTCTCATATCATTTGAAGTATGTGGGTGTTCTGGGTGTGTTCATCTAGCTGGGTACATTCAGAGTGTAATGGATGTCAGTGAGTGTATTTAAAGTAATCAGGTTATGAAATTTGACTCAATATTGTAAAGATGTCAATTCTTCCAAAATCGGCTCATAAATTTAATGTGATTGCCAGAATTTTCATAGAACATCATAAACAGACTCTCAAATTAACGTGTAAGAATTTTAATAAAGCTGAAATTGACAGAGAGCAAAAAAGAACTGGTCCTACTAGATGTCAGCAGATATTATGAGTTTATAGTATTCATATGAGTCAACATGAGATGAAATAGATCAGAGTAAATAATAAAGAAACTGAAATAAAGAAACAAATACATGCATATGTAAGAACTTGGAATAAAAACTGACACTTA